AGCAAAAAAAAAAAAAAACCCCTCTGAAAAAAAAAAAAAAAAAGTTTTTTAAAGGTTTCTGCCTTAGGGCGGGTGTGCTCACTGGAGAAAGAGACAGAGACAGCCAGAGGCAAAGTGAGAAATCACCCCTGGGGAGGATGGCCACACTGCAATCCCTTCTCCCCATAGAATCTTGGGTATTCTCACATGTTTACCAGGTGTGATTTTCAAGCCTGGGTCTGGGACTCAAACCCTGGCTGGCCACGTGGGAGTCCAACAACATAGCTGCTACACCATCGGTTGGCCCCTCTAAAAATAATTTTTTTTAATGAGTACATATACCCTCTGGCCAAAAATAAATAATTTTTTTTTTGAGAGGTTTTTGCTATAGGGTGCATGTGCTCACCAGACAGACAGAGAGAGACAGAGAGATAGAAAGCGAGAAATCACCCCCCAGGGGGGATGGCCACACCGCAATCCCTTTTCCATCCTCCTCTTGGAATCTTGGGCACGCCTGCACACGTGCCCGGCATGAGTTTAAGCCACCGGGTCCTGGACTCGAACCGCAGTCGACTACGTGGAAATCCAGCAACACAGCCATTACGCTAACTGCTGGGGTCCCCAATAAATAAATATTTTACGGAGTCTCTCTGGAGAAGACCTGTGGCCAACTGAAAACTTAAGAAGGTTACGATTCATAATGTTTATTTACCCTGAAAGTACTTGCCACACACCAGACAGGCATATGCGTTGATGTGCGAGAGGGAGATGGAACACAGTTTCTCAAAGTCGAAGTCCAGCACGCTCCTAAAATAAACAAAGCAGAATGATTAATACGTACAGAAATCCAGGAGGGTCCCAAGATGACTGAAACATGCCAGCGTCCTATTCCACAGGTCGTGCAGCAGCCTTCGGAGAACAGCTCAGACTGTTCATAACCCCTGGGGAACGGTAGTCACCCCTCACCACCCACCACACCCGGAGCAGCACTGAGGTAGCACCACCAGGCGTCCAGTGCCCAGGAGCCTCCTCACTGATATGTACAACCAGTCAAAGGCCTTCCCTTGCAATCCTCTCTCTGGAGGGAAAGCTACACGCAGGACTGAAGTAACAGGACCCCAACAGCATTCTGGGATGAGAAGACATAAAAGGAGTGAATACACCTTTACTTTTTAAAAAATGGGGGGGATGGTCCTATAGCCTAGTGGTTAAAAGAGCCAGCTCCCACATGGCTTACTGCAGTTCAAATCGTGGCCCCAGAGGCTTGAAAAAAAAAACACTGGGCACATGCGCATGCAAGCCCCAATCCCTGCAGGATGGAGAAATGGAGAAGGGACTGTGACGTGACCATGCCCCACTTGGAGGAGTTTTTTCTCTCCCTCTCTGTCTCTCTCTGGCCAGCATATGTGCACCCTGGCAATTAATATATATTTTTAAAAAGTGTATGTTGGGGCCACCAGGTGGCGTAGTGGTTAGGGGCACTAGACTCCCACATGGCCAACGGCGGTTTGAGTCCCAGACCTGGCGGCTTGTTTTCTAACATTCCCTCTCTTTCTGTCCCTCTCTGGTCAAATTAAAATAAATAAATAAAATAAATTTGTTAAAGGGTGTATGTTATAGCCAGCCAGAGGTGTGGTGCTTAAGGTGGCTGGATCCCACATAACTGACTATGCAGTTCAAGTCCCAGAAGCTGCAGCTTGGAAACCAACCCAGACCTGTGTGCATATGTGCTGAGATCCCAAGAGGAGAATGGAGGAGGGATGGCAGTGTGTGTGGCCATCGCCCCTGTGGAGGTGATTTCTCACTATCCTTCTTTCTCTGGCTTTCTCCTGCAAGTGTACACATCCTATAACAAACTAAACAAAATAATTAATTACATGTATTTTATGGCCGGCCCCTGGTATAGTGGTTAAGGTAGCTCGATCGCACACGACCGACTATGCAATTCGAATCCTGGACCCTGGAGCTTGAGAAACATGCAGGGTGCAGGTTCTTGCATGGACAAAATCCTAAAAGAAACAGAGAATGGACTGTGGTATGACCATTTCCTATGTGGGGTGCTTTCTCACTTCCCCCTCCTCCCCCTCCATGAGCACACATAACCTCCGGCAAAATTTTAAAAAACAAAAGTATATTTTAGTCCAAAAAAAAAAAAAAGTCTATCTAAAAAATTTTAGGGGAATACCTACAAATAGATCTGCTTATTCAAGTACAAAATAATGGTGAGTATCAGGCAACAAGGAACAAAAACTTTTCCTCCACTGAACCCACAGGTGGCAAAGGGATTTCTTCTCAAACATTAACTATATAATTAACTCTATTAAAAGGACCATTAGCCACACATGGCCACTGACGACTAGGTTTAAATTACAATAAAATTTAAAACTCAGTTCCAGGACCAGCAGTTAGCGTAATGGCTATGTCGCTGGAATCCCACATAGCCAACTGCAGTTCGAGTCCCGGACCCAGTGGCTTAAACTCATGCCGGGCACATGTCCGTGCATGCCCAAGATCCCAAGAGGAGAATGGAGAAGCGATTGCAGCACGGCCATCCCCCTGGTGGGGTGATTTCTCGCTTTCTATTTCTCTATGTCTCTCTGTCTTTCTGGCGAGTGCACACGCCCTATAGCAAAAAAAAAAAAAAAAAAATCAGTGCCTCTGGGGCCGGCAGGTTGGCATGGTGGGTGAGGTGCTGGACCCCCACAGGGCCAACCACGGTTTGAGTTTTGGACCTGGTGGCTTGTGCTCTCCTCCCTTCCTCTCTCTCCTTCTCTCATCAAATTAAAAAATAATAAATTAAATTTAAAAAAAAATTCAGTTCCTCAATTCCAGAAGCCACATTTCAAATGCTCATAGCCACTTCAGGAAACATGTATTAATAGTCAACTACTAGTACATAAAAACACAAAGACAGAGGGTCAGCAAGTAGCATAGTGATTAAGGTGTTGGACTCCCACATGGCCACCAATGGTTCAAGTCCTGGACCCAGCAGCCTGAAACTCACATCAGCATGTGTTCCTCAAACCCCAAGAGGAGAATGGAGGAGAAGGAACTGTGACATGGCCCTCCCTACTGGGGGTGGGGAGGGGGGGTGATTTCTCCCCTTCTGTCTCTGTCTCCCCAGTAAGCACACAAACCCTACAGTAGGGAAAAAAAAAAAGGGGGGGATGAGTTCCTGTATGGCTTGTGAACAAAATGATAACCTTTGTAAAGAACAATTCTGAGATGGAGCCAGCAGGTGGTGTGGTAGTTAAGGGCGCTGGACTCCCACATGGCCAACCACGGTTCGAGTCCCAGACCTGGCAGCTTGCTTTCACACTTTCCCTCTCTGTCTCTCTCTCTCTCTCTGCCCCTCTCTGGTCAAATCAAAATAAAGTTAAATTAAAGGGGCCGGCAGATAGCAAAGTGGTTGAAGGTGCTAGACTCCCACATGGCTGACTATGGTTTGAGTCCCGGGCCTTGCAGCTTGCTTTCTCACTTTCTCTCTCTCTCTCACTCTGGTCAAATAAATAAATAAAGTTAAATAGAATAAATAATTTAAAAATAAATAAAGTTAAATAATTCTTTTCTTTTTTTTTTGGAGAGGTTTTTTGCTTATAGGGTGCATGCACTCGCCAGACAGACAGAGAGAGACATAGAGACAGAAAGCGAGAAATCACCCCCCAGAGGAGATGGTCACATCGCAATCCCTTCTCCTCTATTCTCCTCTCGGGATCTTGGGCATGCACGCACACGCGCTCGGCATGAGTTTTAAGCCACCGGGTCTGGTACGTGAACCGCGGTCAACCATGTGGGAGTCCAGCAACATAGCCATTATGCTAACTGCTGGTTCCCAGTTAAATAATTCTTAAAAAAAAAAAAAAAAAATACTCCATAGGACCAGCAGATGGTATAATGGTTACATCACTGGACTCCCACATGGTCGACGGAGGTTCAAGTCCCAGACCCAGAAGCTTAAAACACAACAGGCATGAGTGCACGCCTACCCAAGATCCCAAGAGGAGAATGGAGGGGAAGGCACTGTAGCATGGCCATCCTCCCAGAGGGTGATTTCTTGTTTTCTGTCTCTGTCTCTCGAGCAAACACATGAGCCTTACAGCAAAAACCTCTCCAAAAAAAGAAAAAGAAAAAAGAACTATTCCAGAGCCAGCCAGTGGTATGATGGCTAAGATGGCTGGATCCCATAGGGCTGCCTACATGGTCAAGTCTCAGATCCAGCAGCTTGAAAAACATGCTGAGCACGTGGGCATGCCTGCCCGAAATGCAAAAGGAGGGAGAAACAGAGAAGGGACTGCTGTGCGACCTTTCCCTGGGGGAAGGGTGCACCTGCTTTTCTCTGTCTCCAGCAGGCACATGCGCCCTCTTACAAAAATGTTAAAAAAAAAAAAAGAACACACAAAAAGGATAAGCTCATTATTACAAAAAATTCTGTAAGATACTGCCACCCTGGAACAAGAGCTGAAAGGCGTTCTAACAGGTCATCTGGGAATCAGAGAAAAGACTCTTTTTTCAGATTTTTGTTCCCCCTGCTCAATCCCAGACACTAGAAAGTACTTACTACACAGTGGGTGCTCTATAAGTATTTAAATTTGCTGTTATTTTAAGGATATTACATATCCAGGGACCAGCAGTTGGTGTAATGGCTATATCGCTGGACTCCCATGTAGTTGACCATGGTTCGACTCCCAGACCCGGTGGCTTAAACTCGAGAGGAGAATGGGGGAGAAGGGATTGTGGCATGGCCATCCCCTCTAGGGGGTGATTTCTTGCTTTCTGTCTCTGTCTCTGTCTTTCTGATGGGTGCACACACCCTATAGCAAAAAACCTCTAAAAAAAAAAAAAAAAGGATACTACATATCCCATTATTCCAACATAAACATTCAGAATGAGCTGAGAGCTCCTTTTGCGTGCACCCCACCATTAAGCAACATGCACACTGACCCTTCCACAACATGTACCCTGCTACTTTAAATTAAAGGACAGAAGATTTATAAACACGGCAAGCAGCACAATTTTCTGAGCAGAACATTTTTTAAGAATTTTTAAAAATAATTATTTTATTTAACTTTATTATTATTATTTTAATATTTCCAGAGAGAGAGAGAAAGACAGAAAGAAAAAGAGTGAGTGAGAAAGAAAGCAAGCTTCCAGGTCCAGGACTCGAACCACGGTCAGCCATGTGGGAGTCCAGTGCCCTTAAACACCATGCCACCTGCCAGCCCCAAGAATTACTTTTATTTAATTTGATCTACTATTATTATTTTTTAAATTTGACCAGAGAGAAACAGAAAGAGAAAGTGAGAAAGCAAGCTGCCAGGTTTGGGACTCGAACTGCCATTAGCCATGTGAAAGTCCAGCACCCCAACAGGCACACCACCTGCTGACCCTGGGCAGAACACTTTAAAACAACTTGTACTTTTTTTTTTTTTTTTGAGAAGTTTTTGCTATAGGGTGCATGCGCTCACCAGAAAGACAGAGAGAGACAGAAAGCAAGAAATCACCCTCCAGGGAGATGGCCACTCTGCAATCCCTTCTCCTCTACTCTCCTCTCGGGATCTTGGGCAGGTATGCACACACACATGTCCAGAGTGAGTTTAAACTACCAGGTCCTGGACTCGAACCACGGTCAACTACATGGGAGTCCAGAGATGTAGCCATTATGCCATCTGCTGGTCCCACAACTTGTCAATTTGTGAGTAAAATTCGTAAACATCCAATGTTTAGTTCAAGGGATTTCCTGTGTTGATTCCAGAGTTCCTTTGCTGACCTCGGGATCTCTGCGTACTGACCTGTTGATGGTGTCCAGGTACGGGCAGTGGCGGCTCCTTCGGTCCTCAGAATCCACACGGCCATTCTTTGCTGAAAGGAAAATCATCATGAGCTTTGGAAATGGGAAACCAGAACTCGGGGTCAGCTATCAGTACAAAGAAGCCAGAAACGGGAAGCTGATCAAGACGAGCCCCGATTTCTCAGGAGGCAACATCGTCCAATGTCTACTAACAGAACAAGCCACAGAGC